CTTAACTAATGGTATCCGTTTTAGTTACGTAACAACTTAAGTTTCTGCACGATCGTAAAGTATTTCACTTACGCCACGTACGTTTTTCTATAACAAAGGTAAGCAGTTAGTTCACCCCACACCTGAACTGTAAACTATGTTAATTAATTTTAAATGAAATAAATCTGATTTTAATATAGAATCGAATTTAATCGGTATTAAGAATAATAATACATAAATGAAACGTATCGAATGAATGTCTATGAAAGAATCCCGTGCTAATCACCAAATATTCTTATGTGTCCCAGTTCGACGTATCGTTCTACGAAATATGAGTAGCACTCGTGAATCATGACAGGGTGGTCCTAGCCTAGCGATAAACGAAACATCCGAGTGGTTACAATTAATACTCAAATACAATCTGGCCTGGACTGGCCTCTCGGCTTGTTCAACTCAAAAACTTCCAATTTTAAAACAATCTTTATCTTAATATCCTTGAGTCAGCAAGAAACGCTGTATTCAATGTTTATATGATATATTATTTATGTGTCCTGTCGTGACAGCGAGCCATTTTCAACCAGTCTGGTCATGCTTTATCCTTAAGTCCCTCTATGTCCTCTTTGGGTCTTTTACGGCCTCGACTTTTCCGATTACCAAGAATTAGTCAACCCCCGAAACCGTCCTATATGGACGCCTATGGTCGCCATCAGTCGGACTGAATCTTTCATTCTAGAAAGTACTGGAGCCCAGGCGAAGCTCCTAAAGATATCGATTTAATTGAATGCGCTATTAAAAAATGGCAAGGTCCGGGAAGTTAGCACCACCAAATGCGAATGTTGTCTACGATTGTCCTTCAAACAAAAGTAATAACAAAATTAAAATTTGAGCCAAATTTCACATCAGCACTGCCATAAAAACTTTTTGATAATATAGTGAAATTCGATTTTCCACGATTTGTACACGTTTGTCCAACAAAAATTTTCGTTTGTCCACCCCCTGAAACCGAGATATTTAAAAAATAAAAATAATAATGCACATGGTCTTTAGGGACAACCTTAATACATTTCATACGAAATAAATACGACAATCGTTTGTACACACATTATTTTCTTTTGTCTGTGCCCTATTTTCGTTTTTCCATCCAACAGAAATAAGTTATTAACAAATAAAAAACTCAAAATATAGAGAATTATTAATACTAGTGTTCGCCCAGTGGTCGAAATTCGACCTAATCATTATGGAAAATTTTAGGAAAACATATATGCCTTTTTTTTTGTTCTTATACATTCGTTCATTGTATATCTGTGATCATAAACTTTTGTGTACTTACGATACAACATAGTTCAGTACCATTATTATTAAATTCGAAATAAATTCAATAAAATGACAGTAACTGACAATTTAAAAACCTTTATTTATTGCTTGATATGAAACACAATTTTTATTTTGAGGTTACTCTTGAGGCCTCTAAAAAAAGGGGGGTTGGATATGGGTAATCCCCATCGCTGTACTATATCCGACCTCACTTGCACTCTGTCATGAACCATATCGAAAATAATAACAATACAGAAAAGGTACAAAAAAGGGACGGGGGAAGGAGGTTGGCTTTCTCTTTGAATTTTCCTAATTTTTTAATTATATATACAACCTATATCTCAAAATACTCGAATTATAAATATTGTTTCCACCGCATCTCAAAGTCCAATCCGTCTCGATGTTCATTTTCCCAAGTCTACATATCGACATCCTCTGGGATGGGGTGAAATTGGGCAGTTTGAAATCGCTTCACCATTTAGTCGTGGCAGAAGAAGAGGAGGGGAAGTTGAAAGAGTGGCGAAGAAGTAATTTTTTTTTCTACACCCACATGGGTATTATTTTATCTACGCACAGATTACAAAACGAAAAAGTATGCTATTGCCTTCAACTGAATGAATATATTTCATATCCATTCTAGGTAGTGAGAACACTGCAAAAAAAATGAAACCCACCAGTCACCGTTCATATTTTGATCAACCGACTGCTATTATTTTTAAAATTTTAAAATAGTGACAATTCTGTCAAACTAATTGTCAGTATATATTTTAGTTACTGATATTAAACATACATTAAAATGGGTTATTCTTGTTTTTATTTCGTCTATAATTATAAATAATTTGTTAATTTAAATAAAACTATATGATGTCGTGCTTAAATTTTGTCTTCGTACGATATGGCCATCATATCCACTCTTGTTGCACAAACTACTATTTTAAGCCGCATTTTTTTTTAAATATTTTGGTTAAGCTTTTTAAAACAAAAAAGATATGATTTTTTATCATTTCAATTTTTTATAATCTTGTAATTTATAGATTATAAATAATCCTGAAACTTATTATTTTATTAGCAACTTGACAACGTTGTTATTTTCCAGATATAATCTGTGACTATAACCTGTAAATTTTTTACGAAAATTCACTATAGAAACTAAAATAACTTTTTCACTAAATATTGTTTTTATAAATATCCCAAAAATATCAAAATTTTTGCTTTGAAATAATTAAAACTTTTATAGTCTCTCCAAACGTTACCTATAAAATGTTGCACAAGACTATTCTAAACATTATAATATTAATTTAGAAAATCATCAATTTTAGTCTAAAAGCATTGATAAGAATCTTTGTGTTTATCATACTTACTTTGATCGGAATTATCATTTTAACGCAGATTATAGGAACATGACAAAACTAGTTCATAGATACATTAGTTTTCTTAAATTTTCATAAACACAACCGCATTTCCACGCTTATTCACGAAAAAACTGATTATCGTTATGTGAATTTATCACGAGCCACGCATTAAGTGGCAATATAGAAAAGGATGACAATAAGTATACGAAAGTCCTGGGAATCCCCTAAAAGTGTAAAGAGGTAGTAGACCTAAAAATACTTTTGTTTGTTTGTTTTATCACCAAACATAAGTCGATGTCAAATATAAATTATCCATAATATACAGTGTGTTCAGAAACTATCTGCCAAATCAGAACGTCGAATTTTTATACCGATTTGAGCAAAATCGCCATACCTACCAAATATCTTTAAATGATACAGTTTTTACTGTACATAACATATATTTTATTATGAACATAAGCGTCTCCTTTGGGGGTAACATGAATCATAATTTTTTCTTTGTTTTTTTGACGTCATGTTTGAAAACTTGACTGTTTTTTCTTATGTTCTGCTTCAGTTTCTCATTAATAAATTCACTTCCCATAATTAGCTCCTTTGTTTTTGTATAAGGCAAATTTGCAGTAGGCACAGAACAATTACTTTTAGAATGGAAACTGCAATGTTAAAATTTGAGACAGTTTTGTAACACCCGGTAAGCGTTCTTTGAACTATTTGGCGGAAGTGGCGCCATCTCGCGGTCACTTTAGTTAACACAAAACGCGGGAACATTCAAAATGGTCATTCAATATTTAGTTTAAAAGAGGTAGTCAAATTAAGATTTGTTCATACCAACTCCTTTTTTACGTTTATTGTAGCAATAAAATTATATTTGTTACAATAAAGCAAAAAATGAGTAGTATGAACCAATCCTAACTTGACTACAAGTTGAAATATTTTTACAAAAAATTAAAAAGCATGATCAACAAAATTAATTTATTAAAACAAAAAAAAATACAAAATAGAATAATTAAATGTAGCGTGTTAATTAGCTGGAAAGTTAAGTCATTGTCCACAGAGGTTGAAGAGTTTTATCTAGAACAAAAAATAAATATTAATCAACTTATAAATCAAGAAGGGTACAGGAAGAAAAAAGCAGCTAAGCCACATTTTTATCAAAATTGAACTGGTCCGCCCTATTTTGTAAAATACCAGTATTAGCAAATGCAAAACAGTGCATTTAAAAGTATGTCCAAGGACTTTCCTACTGTTTGTTTGTCATTTTCAGTATTTAGAATAAAAAATTACAACTGTGGTAAATTAAGTGGTAAACTACAATATAATCAGGCAACATTTAAACAAAGTAACATCTTTTTGTAATCAATTACCTTAAAGTATCAAAAGTTTGTATTTAGTCAGTCTAAATTAAATTTGGTTTTCTGAACATTTTGGTAATTGTGACTTAGCCCCTTTTTTTCCTGAACCCTACAAATCTGTTAGGGAGCACAGAAAGTGAGGCATGAATAAAAAAAGGTATACTGACCATTACTTCCCGGACTAGGCTATTTTGTCTTCCAAAATCCAATATTGCCATTCCAAACGGCTTGAAGAAAGTTTGTACTAGAACAAATAAAAAACAGTAAAAGTAACAATCTGAACTAAATCAAATGTGAGGCATGAATACAAAAAGTACAGTGACTATTACTTCTCTGACTAGGCTGTTTTTGTCTTCAACGATGCAATACTGCCACTCCAAACGGCTTGAAAAAGTTTGTACTAGAACAAATAAAAATACAGTTAGATCGCTGCGTGCACCAAGAACTTTAAACATATCTTCAAAATGTTTATCACATACTAAATAGTTTTTACAAATTCGTTGTTTTATTCTTGAAAAATGGACAGATGCCCTAAAAAATTGAGATTTTTATTTTCTCGTAGATTATCAGACCCTGACCAATTATATATGTAATTACCTCTGAGTATTCCATTTTTAACAAAAAAAGAATCATAGAAATCGGACTACGTGGTAAAGAATTATCGCTAAAAATACATAATAAATGAAGCGATTGATGATTTTCTCATGGACTACATTATTAGATCTTGACCAAATTTATATGGGACCACCCCTGAGAAACCTCCTTTCTAACAAAAAAGAATCATAGAAATCGGACAACTTAGTAAAGAATTATCGCTGAACATACATAAAAAAAAAATCCACGAATTGAGAACCTCTTCCTTTTTTGAAGTCAATTAAAAAGATATTAATCGACCAATATATTTTTTTAAATAAAGTTATACTATGGGAAAATATTAGAAATAAAATGTCATTGTCACTAAGTATTTTTTGAAAATACTTATTTAACAAACGAAATCTTTTAGTCCGACAGTCCTTTAAATGATTCCTTGTGGGTAGCAGAAGACAATGGTTTAGACTATGGATCTGGTATGGCTTATTCTTTCTTCCATGGTTACTTAAACTATGTATTACCCAATACTGGCGGAGAGGATAAAAACCTGAAAGAAATTATGACAGATTTCGAAAGTAAAAATGGAATAAAATTTGAAGTTTATAAGCTATTTATTTTGGTACCTAAGTCCATGAGATGCCCTGTTAGTTTGGAAAATGAGTATTCACCATCCATACAAGAAAGCAGAGTAAGTAGTTTCGAATATATAATATATATACAGTGCTGACCAGATCAAACCTTTGGTCCTACTTTGATTGTGTTGGTGTGAATAATAAATGGCGTTCGTATATGCAGAATAAAAAACGTTATAACGTTGAGCTAAGGGTGGATAGCTTATTGACAGAAATTAAAATAAGAGAGCGGGAATAATTATCATTGTCGTTAGTTCAATGTTCTTTTGGTTCAGTACCAGTTGACTGTTTGACAGTGATTGATGTATCGCAAAAGATACGAAGTATTTCTTAATTACGTATTTTTTATTATTTGATACTTCATTCATATTTGATCACATACTTTGAATCAAAGTATGTGTATTTGATACTTACTGAACTAAAGATGACTCTCTTATTTTAATTCCTGTCGAGGCTACCGAACGTTGGTTCAACTGGCAACATTGTTATTATATAATTTATGGTCCTGTAAATGCGAATGCAAAGCAGGAATAAAGGTTTGATCTTGCCAGCAAAGTATTTACTTTTTAGCGATTTTTCTTCCTACTCGCGATATAATTTTATTTTGTTTGTCGGGTACATAGTATTAATCAATATAATAGAATTCGATGTAATATAGCATTGGATTTTCAAATAATCTATTATAGTATAAAATTGCCCAAATAATAAACGTTCAGATGTAATTGGGTACGTATAAAATCGTCTACGATTTCTACGCGAACATCGTCTTACGAGAAACGTTAGGAGTACTTCCTCAGACTCCATAATGAAACTGGCCAATTTTAATTATTTTCCCACATGAGCCATGAGCCTACCTTGGAGTTACGCTACTTTGTAGCTAGCACACATCCCCAACTAGTTATTGATAAAAGTGTACTTATTGTGAAGGCATGACCCAAATTATTCCATCCCTGAATCAGAGTGAGAGAACCGATTATGTTGGCTTAATATGGCAACAGCGTGTCATCGCCTTCTGACTGCATTGAAAATATCCATAGGCGTGTAGGTATCAGTCGTAAGGGACATATTTAATAATTATTAATTTTCTCAGTAAATATTTAATATATCGATTGTTTTTATTCTTAATTATTGTTTTAGCAGATATTCATTGTATTTTAAAAGAACTTGGTGTCCAAATAAGAAAGGAAGCCAGTTGTTGTTGGCTGTAGGATACGACCTGTATCTCAGAAACTATACGCCATAGAATTTGGAGAAAAAATTTTCAACGTAACTACAAAGTACATAAAAAACTGCCATCGTTGGAAAAAAATATCACTGCTTGTCAGATTCTTTACAATTTTATTATGATTAAAACTGAACATTTTTAAAGTAAATCGTTACCTATGAATCTACAAATAAATTACTTTACCTAAATACGTTTTGAATTAATTTTTCTGCGCCTATGAGATCTATAACAACATTTATATTAATAAAATTAACCTAAAAATCAACTTTCCTGTGGAACGAAAGATTAACGTGTAAATAGTTCGTTTTTTACAAACAAAACTGTTGAACCATGTTAATAATAGGAATGCCCTATTTAATCACATAAATAATCAAAGTAAAAAAAACAGTTTTCACAAAAACATAGCTATATACAACCAACCAAACAAAGCAATTTTAGGATGAAACAAATTTACAACTCTCGCTACAAATATCGACAAACGTAAATGCGCTTTTGCCAGACATAAAATTTCTTCCAGATAACTTAAAGACACAGTATTGCAAGCTAATGTATTTACATTACTACTGTTAAAAAATACCGTAAACCTGGCATCAATGTTTAATCAGATTATTGTATTTCTGCCACTGACGCCAACATTAAGGCTTCAGAAATTTTGTAAATAATCCCTCTTTCTTTCTCTTTAGAAATCTTTATTTACAATTTAATAATAGTATCTACATGTCAAGTCAAATTTATTATATTCACACTACCGAGTCCTTATAGACTTTTCGTGCAGGTCAAAAACCATGGTGGATAAATCCGCCCACAATAATTCGCTCGACTAAATGTTTGAGAAATATATTAGCCCTCACTCCTTACCTGTTAGGTATTATTAAGGGATTGTGGTTTTATTTGGAAATCGGTAATGGGAAATGGTGATAGGATATGTCGTGTTTTAGTTATATCTTTTTGTCCCCTGAAAAAGCTAGAAAAAACAGGGTTGTCCTTGTGTGTGTGTTGGTATAGTCTTTGGTTTGTATGTACATTTCACAGGCCGATTGATTGATGTGCCCTCCAACCGCGTAACAGTCGCGAAATTGTGAGTTTCGCGTCCGTTTCAGTTCAGTTTTAAAATCCTTTATTTAATATATACATTTATCTACATTACATATACAAGCTCCATTTATAATAAAAGAAAAAATAATATATAAAATAATAAGTAAAATAAGACATAACATTCTTCCTTTTATATCCGTGTTCGGATTGGCTGATGATATTGCCCAATAGCAGCTTGCGATGTTTCCCAGTTTTGGCTGCATTGCTTACTCCCTAACAGATTGATATTATTAAGCAATTTTGTGCTTTTATGCTGTTCGCAGTGAGTGATTTGATTGTGTGTTGTGTATGAATTTAATTATGTCTGATTTTTTCCCTGAAAAAGTTGTGAAAAAACAGGGGTTTGAAGTGTGGGTGTGTGTTCGTTATAGTATTTGGTTAGTTGTATGCAATATCCACAGACTGTATCGAATTGTAGGCCGTTCATAGGTCCGGGATTTCAGCCAATGGCCGATCGTCCCGGGTCTAAGCCCCGCCCACCGTTTGACATAGTCAGACGCTTCTTGAATTTTGAATTCAGTCTGCTTTGGATATTGCAAGGTAATCATACAAGCTCTGATTGTCATTATTTGTGCTTTATTTTTGTAATTGTCTCAACGATTGTAAATAGTAAGGTTTTCATGGATCCAAACATGCTTCCTATTTGGATTATTTAGCCTTGTGACCTGATTTATGTCTTCCTTGAGACGCGGAGGAAGACAGTTTCGGTAGAATTTCTCAGAGATTTGCATTATATATTGTTTAATAGGAAGAATGTTTGTTCTCTCATGTAATTCTGGTGTCCTTTGCACATCCAAGGATTAGCCTCTGACACCTGTTTTGAGTGATTTGTAATTTACGAAAGTGTGTATCTGCCATGGAGCAGAAGACTGGACATCCATAGGTTAGAATTGGGCGTAGTATTTGCTTGAAGAGCAGTTGTTTATTTTTTTGAGTTACCCTGCTGTTCCGTGACAGCATAGGGTATAATGTCCGTATCATGCCGGTAGTTTCGCGTCCGCTTCACCGTTGGCCGGTCCACCGATCAATCCTCCGTCCGACTGAGTTGCGCGAATATCTAGTCGGTCAGTCAAGTCGGTGTGAAATGTTGTTTAGTATTGTATGGGACAGTTAGGGAGGATGTTATTGTTCCTGTAAATGTCTAGTTTAGCGTGGATACAGCCGTGTTTCCTACGCACGTTGTCGCCCCGATATATGCTTAGGATATCGTCCCTCACACTATCGGGAAGGCATCGCTTATAGAAATTTTCGGCTGTATCGAGAATATAGTCTTTAATTAAGGGTATGTCTGTCTGTCTGTGCATGTCGAGAATTCTGGCATAGCGGTCGTATCCCAGAGCTAGCCTCAGACATCTGTTTTGTGCTACCTGTAATTTGCTGAAGTGAGTGTTGGCCATAGAACAAAACACTGGACATCCATATGTCAGGATTGGTCTTATGATTGTTTTATACATGAGTAGCTTGTTTGCCTGTGTTACTCTACTTTTCCTATTCAGGATTGGGTAGAGGGTTTTAATGGCCGCATGGTTTCTGTCTACTCTGTCCTTTATGTGTTGGTCGAAGGTTAACCCTCCATCTAATACGAAACCTAGGTACTTCATTTTGTTGCTCGTTACAATCTCGTCATTTGCAACTTTTAAGGGTGTATTGACACCCCTCGATCTCCTTTTTGTAATTAGCATACTTTCAGTTTTATTTGCATTGATATTCATTTTATTTTTCTTAAGATAGGGGATTAACCTTCTGTTAATATGAATATCCAGCGTCCTGACTGCACTTTCGGCCGAGTGATTGCTTTTGAAGAGGCAGATGTCGTCAGCGTACCCCATTATTACCCATTGGTATGTCATGGGTCATAATGGAGTACAAGTGGGGCGACAGTACTGAGCCCTGAGGTACTCCCGCCTGCGCAGTGTAAGGTCTTGTGGTAGTGTTGTTTATTTTAACGTTAAATCGTCTGTCAGTTATGTAGGATTGAATTATTTTTACAATGTGAATCGGAAAATCATTCACAAGCATTTTGTGAATTAACCCACAGGTCCAGACGGAATCAAAAGCTTTTTCGCTATCCAGCGCCACTAGCACCGTTTGCTTGTTGACATTTGTGGCCTCTTTGGCATGGTGAACTATACGAATAATCTGTGCTACGGTGCTGTGTCCGCTTCTGAATCCGTACTGTTCCTGAGGGATAATTTGTAGTTGGTCTTCTGTATTCTTAAGTCTCGTTAAAATTATTTTGTCTACTACTTTTGATAATGTGTTTAGCAGCGAGATGGGCCGGTAACTTTCGATTTTGTTTGGGCTTTTGTCTGACTTTAATATCGGTATTATGTTTGCAATTTTCAGGCAGCTTGGGTAATGTTGCAGCCTGAAAATTGCATTTATTATACAGGGTGTCCCAAATTGTTTTACCCATGCTGTAACTTCTAAACCATGCAAGATAATTGAACCGGACAAAAGTCATCCATTATAGTTGGCGGTGTACTTTGAAACAAAAAGAAATTTGATGACCCACCCTCAAAAACTACCCCCCTGGTAAAACCCCCTCAAATATTATTAACGACACCCTAATTTTTTTTCTGCTTATTTTTGTAGTTGCTACTTTTCTCTGTACAACTGTTTTTAAAATTTTGAAATCGCTCCATAAATAAGTGAGATTCGTTTTTTTTTTTTTTCATTTTCATTAAGTTGCTTGCTGTCAATTTCATAGTAAGTTTTCTAACGCATTATAAACAA